GTGAGAACGTTGTACGGCTGGCAATGTAACTGATACACACCAATTACGTAGCACTTTATTGGGACCTAAATTTGAAACCCCACAAATAGCTGACTAAAGTCTTTTTTGGTACTGTTAGGCTGGTTGCTTGGTCAACTGTTTGGATTGGCCATTGGCGACTGGTTCAACCAATGACCATTCACCTGAGCTAAATAAGACACCAATCACGTGAACTGTTTAAATGCCCGGATGAGGGATGCAGGTGCTATTAGTCCGTTCGGAAAAATATTGCGCAGATGTTATCACTGCAAGCTGGCCTTGTAAGATTAAAGTGAATGGACAAATGGGAAAATGAACGCTTTCAGTTATTGTGTACTCGTTTTGGAACGGAATATATGAAGCATAAACAAAAAATCTTATGGAATAAAATTTAATAAAAAGTATGTCCTGATTTGGAAACTTTACCCATGATGAATTAATATCAGGACCAGTTGAGCCTCTGCGGGCTCTAACTTTGCTTTTTTAAGTGATTCCCATCGGTGCATTATGAAAAGTTATGCATTTTGCCCTCAACCATTATGAAACGTCTTATTTTTCAGTAGGGATGGTTCATTAGTGTTTGGATGTCATAATATCTTCACTGCACTGTTTGATGCAATAGGTTTATATTATTATTCATTAGATTTGTGCCAGAAATGGCGCGAAAAGCTGCAATTATAGCATTTGCTAATACAAGCGAGTGCCAGGAAGTAATTGAGGAGAAGACGGCTTGATCGCTGGGACAATACTTTTATTTGCCTAACGTTTCGAGATCCCTCGCGGATTCGTTATCAGATACATAGTCAGCTAGCAATGGCAGATACGAGTAGCATATGTACAGGAGTTTGCAGTATTTATAGGATGCAGTCATTACTGCAAACATACAACGACAATTAACGCTAATTGTTTTCTTGCGTGCTGACGATTTGGTGAACAGCATGCGGGCTCTGAACTGCTGAACTTTCATCACGCGTGGTGGACTCGGGCGTGATGGTGGCTCGGCCATCCGCTTTCTCAGTGTTGGCGTAGGATGACACGGTGGCCTGTCCGTTCCCCAAGTGGCGACTTGCTTTGGCCAAATTCAGTCTTAGCACCGAATATGGATTGGGGGCCCGTGAACCATGACTCAAAAAATTCTCGGCTCACCCGATTGTCATCTCTTGCGAGAATTTCGGCCTCATCAAGTTGAATGTGTTTCCGGGTCTTGTCGAATGAGCCGCAACGAGAGAATTGGCATCATGATGCCAAATGGGGAAAAATACCATGATTTTGCCATGACAAGAATGCGCACGATATTGCGCACAGGAGGCGATAATGTTTAGGAAGAGATGCATTACAAGAAAATATATTTAATTCATCTAATTCTTAAAATAACCCTGGAGAGGAACAAGCACTATTAAAAAAGCGTAGCTTTAACGTGTTTCATATATTAACCAAAGTATGTCGGCAAATAGTTGAGGATAAGATATTTTTATCATCCGTTTAATAAATATTCAAGTCAACTGAGCTTCGCAAAAGCCTCATTTTTTGGCCTCCGCAGATATTCATGCCAGGATTTTAAATACAAATAGTGACCTAACATCGCACAGTCGCGGCTGTCTGACAAAATGTCTGGTGGATCTTCCCAATACGAGATTTTGTAACCACTTGGTAGCAGTGCCCGCTAGCAAACGAATATGGCCAAAATAATTGCGCAGATTTTAAGTATGCAAAAATACACTAGCAAAATAGTGCTACAGTCGTTTAGGTAGTGCACCATTATATACTCTAGTCCCAGCATTTTGTCCTGTGGAAATGGTACATATAGGGGTTTTATGCGTTAGAAATTAGCATAGGTAGTGGAATCTACTTTAATAACTGCTATTTTCATTTTTATTTCAAAATTTTTCAAAATTTTTCAAAATTTTGTTGGGTCATATCTGTAGATTTTCCTTATTTGTATTATCAGCAAACGTATTGCGGAGAAACCCAATTACCGAAATTCAGTTTTTCTGAAATTCCCCGAAAAATAGAAATGATGGTTAGGAGGTCAGCCCTTTAATTTACCTGAGGTCCACCTAACCGTTGTGGACGTAGATTAGTACAGTCCGCGGCGCTTTGCGCCACGGACATCTTCAATTTGCATGCGGAACAACTTACTCCCGACGACCACGAGAAAAAAATTTAACTACACTTTTCCACTTTCCACTTCCACAAATTTCCTTTCTATTTTCTATTTCTTTAACCCATAACTCCTAAAACCACCGTTTACGTGAGACAAAATGTCGGGAGGAGGGGTATGTGAGGTGCACTACTTAAACTATCTTAGCCCAAAAAATATTAAAAGTAAAAATTGAGTAGCAAGCAGACTCCTACTACACTGGCAATCCGTGTATGAAATACAGGAAGTATTAATTTGTTTAAAGGTCGCGAACCATTTCTTCAAAGGATTAGGAAGACTCGTTAACGAGACTGTGTATGCAAAAGATGTTCGTTTACGCACCCCATTTATATGCAGGGACAAAAATCATAACTCAAGCGTTTTATACTGCGCCTTGCCCTTATATAGGTATAGTGGTCCGTCGAGAAGCTATCATATGCATATGCAATCTTGCCACCTGATTTTTTAACAAAATTATTGTGAGGAAAAAATTTAATACGATGTCGTTTACATTTACCCTAACCGAGTATTTGAGAAGGAGAGAAAAATAATGTTTGAAGCATCTTTTCCCAGCGCAAATTTGAATATTGCGCATACAGCAGAATTCATTGGAACCATAAACATAAAGGAAACCGAAGAAATACGGTTCACAATGAAACGTTTGCATCCGAAAATGAAATATACGATGGAAATAGGACGTGAGAACCGGCTTTCTCTTCCAGGCTTTTGCATGTCCAGACAGAAAGACGGTTCAATAACACGAAGAGTTTTCATTAAGAATACATGGAAAGGGTAGTACTTGCATAATCTAAGTTTCGTTCCCATACAATGGAAACGTAACCTAGTTTGCATCCTTTTCCAGAGGACAAATAAAATATGCTTAATGGACACACTGCATGTAGAAATTGCCAGCCTCAAGGAAACTCTACTCAAGTCTGAATACCCAGCTCAGTTTATTGACAAGTATAGCAAACCCTTGAGGCAAAAGGTTATAGAACAGCCAGTTCTAAAAAAACCTGTTTTCATTTCCTGCTCTTTAATGGTGAAAACACCTTAAACACAATCAAGAGACGCTTACGTAACACCATTGAAAGGACATACTTTGCTGCTGAGCTCGTCTTTTGCAACTCGACAAAGAGCCTTCCTATTTCAATTGCAGAGGATGCCTTGCCATTGTACGCCAATTTAAATTGTGTTTACGAAGTTACGTGCACTTGCGGATGCCAGTGCATTGGGCGGACACAACGGCAATTGGCAGCCAGAGCTAAGGAGCACTTTTCGAGTTGACTATTAAAAAAGGAGAATAGGATTCCCCGTTCTTCCATTACTGAAGACCTATTGGACACGGGCCATTCTGTAGACCCCAAAACATCTTTCCGAGTACTTGTTCGGGCACGAGAAACTTGTACGTTGCGCTACCTGGAAGCAGCCTGTATACGACGGTCAAAACCCGACCTGTGCAAACAGCTGGAACATGTTGTGAGCCTTAATTTGCCCTGGTAACATCCGGCTCCATGATTCACACTTTCCTCTGCCAACATTTTGCTCTATCGTTTCTTCCCCTATCTCACTGTCCACTGTTTCACTTGCTTACGTTACTAATAAGACTAATTAGCCCAATTAACTAATTGACCTTCCTGAGCTGTTTGTATGAACTCTTCTCTACGAATTCAGTTTTTGTGTATTTTCTCTTTCGTTACTCACTTTTTGCAGCGAGAGGACACAGCTGATGAGCATTCGCGAAATGTATGGTTCCAATAAATTCTGCTGTGCACGCAATCTTCAGAGAAAGAATGCCTTATTTCGAAGGTAATATCCAAAAGTTTCAGAGAAAATGGCCCCATTCACGGAGAGCAAGGGATAAGATAAGACAAAATATAAGGTAAAATGTCATCGAATAGACGACGTTAAGATTAACACGATATCCGCATTTCCATTTCCGTTTCTTCAAACGCGAGGTCGCGTGCTAGAAATGGGAGTAGAGTGCTGATATGGCGATGAACGACAAGATATATGACGGAAACTTCGGTGAGTAGAACGGTTAGACTTCGCAGCCACTAGTTCAGAGTAAAGAGGGTAAGCGACCTCACTAAGAATGCGATCAGAAAATTGCTTGACTATTTTAAACGTTCGCTGTATCATAATGTCAGCTAAAAAACATAGGAAACACTGGCAGCTGAAGAGAGCATTCGGAGGATGTGTTTAAAAATGACCAGGTCTTCCTTAATTAAGGCCGGGAAAATAACCGGAGAGCAGTAAAGAATAAGGGGGAGAATACAGGCATCTATAAAGCGCCAGATTAGGGGTTTCGGTGTGTGATATGAACGCAAGCGGCGGATATAATATGTAAGTTTATGGATTTTAATAAAAAAGACCTTCAGTATGAGGAGAAAGTGACAGGTAATATGCCAGAGAAATCCCAAGGTACAGGAAAAAGGATACCTCATTGGGCGAAATTTTAATGGTTTCAGGACAAGGAGAGGGTCGCAGTAAAAAATACACTGGACTGACTTCCGCTCGTTACGTAGAAGGCCATTTGCTGACGACCATGGTGAGACGTGGTCCAGGCCATCCTTCAGTATCTACCGTTTGAGAGGATGACCAACATCCATGTCATCAGCATACTAAACAAACAAACATTCGTTTGGCGATCGTACGTCGTCAGTGTGGA